TTTTTTTTTTTTTTCCTGCAACAAGGATAATCATTTTTTTTGTTCAATTCCTGTAAATTTTTGTAGCCAAAAAAGTTTCCTGTAACTTTTCATTTCATCTAACTTCATCATAGTTTCCTGGTTCTTCAGTGAATCAAATAGTGACAACTGACAAGGTGTTCTGGCTTGTGTTTATTTCTGGGGTGATTTTTCACTTGGTCTTGGAAGCATGATCTTCTCAATCCAGATTAAGAAAGGTGTTGATAAAGTATTTTCCTTTTATTGGCATTTAAAGATATGTCATGCCTGGTTCCACGGAAGTCCTATGGCACTTTTGTTTGGCTAAAGATTTTTAGAGAAATTCATCATCTTCATGTGAAGGGAATTGATGGGTGTTACTGCTCCATGACATTGAGTACAACACAACCCCCAAAACCAAGGAATAATTGGATTCTTAAAATCAGCAAGGACTGCAGTAGAGAATGAGATCAAGTTCATGCATTGCATGATTGTTCTCATGTTGTCTTCTCAATGGCATGATAATACATCTTCTTGATGTGTATTGCCTTCTTAACCTAGGACATGAAAGGTTTAGTGTTTATATACACATGCACGCACGAAACCACTAGGCCTTAGTTTGTAGGGGAAATCTTGCACTCAAATACTGCTTTATAGTAGAGCCAGGTTTGCACAATTGACACCGGATTCTTGGGATGAAATAGCGTAGCAATGGTAGAATGAAACTTCCTTCTGTGTTTAAGAAGAAAATTTCCAGGGAACATCATACACTGCATCACACACTCCCATCGTGGTTGTTCTACATCTTGCTAGGAGAAATTTAATAGTCAAATAATTTTCATGATATATATATATATTTTTTCATAGCAAATTGTGGGTTAAATTTCTATTTTTGTTACATTAAAGGATGTGAATTGTAGGAGTCTTTTAATGGGAAAAGGTGAGAGAATAGTTTGTTTATACATAATTTAATCTTGTGCATATAATTTGCTGTTATCTAGTGAGGTTTTGTATTAAGCATATGAGTAACATCTTCCAAAGCCATGCCTTTCTTTGGAATTATAGATGAAAAAGATAAAACACTTGGAAGCTGTCATCATATTAATGCAATAATAATAAATTGTCTTGATTTTCCTGCTAGATTTTATGATTTTAATTCTTGAATTTTGTCTATGGAAACAACTATTAAAGGTTACTAAGACATGGTTTAAATCCCAGTACTGCTTTTAATCTATAGAAGTTTGCAGTATTTATTCCTCTTCTTTACGTTGGATGGGTCTAAATGGCTCATTTCCCTTTCCTTCAAATTTGAAAAATCTGATTTTGGGGGTCTGGATGAGCTTCGTGTTTTAACTTGCCAGTAATGTTGGAGAGGATGGTCAGAAAGCAGAGTTCTCGTCAATTTGTCTTACATCTCTGACGTGCAAGTCTTTTGTATCTTTTTTCCGTTTCATATTGTAGGCTATGTTGTTATTGTTACTTAGATAAAACACTGCTGGTTGATGGGGTAATGCTTATGAGATTGTTGTATTTGCTATTTTTATTTTTGTCAGGAGATGTTCCTCGTGTTAATGGGCAGCTGGCAGTTTCTCGTGCTTTTGGAGATAAGAGCCTTAAATCACATCTCCGATCAGATCCAGACATAAAAGACACCGTCATAGATAACAATATGGATATTTTAGTTCTTGCAAGTGATGGTCTTTGGAAGGTAATTCATTTTAGCCTCCAACTATCCTTCTTGTGGTATTAGCAGCAACAACAACACCATTTGAATGCACAAAAAAAAAAAAGGCAAAGTGATGCATTCATTAGAAATAAACTTTTGCACATGATATATCCAGGTGATGGCTAATCAAGAGGCTGTTGATATTGCAAGAAGATACAGAGACCCGAAGAAAGCAGCCAAGAAACTAACAGCTGAAGCACTGAAAAGAGATAGTAGAGACGATATATCTTGTGTCGTTGTTAAGTTTAGAGGATAGAATCTTTTAGATCACATTACTTTCCTGGTGCGGTATATTCCTGAAATAAGAGTTTCTTTACATGGGAATCCGATTCATGGATTTGACCAACTCGAAAAATATAAACCTGGTTGGGGTTTATCCTCAAAATTCTGCAGTAGTTGAGGTTTGGAAACCGCAAAATGAATGGAAGTGCAGGATTCTCCTGATGTAAATTTGTTTTGTTCATCAGCTTCAAATGTTTGATATTTGTTTGATTTCTTCATATAGGCATGTTAGAAATATGATGTATGTTGTGCCTTGTATGTTGATGGTAAATATGGTTACCATGAAAGCCTCCTGACTTTTGTTCTCTTTTCCTTTTGTGATGTATGTTCTCCTTTTCATTAAAGCGTGGTGATAAACTAATGTTTTTGTACGTCACACTCAACTTTAAGCATCATAATTTTGTTTCATTAAGGGTTAATGCCATCTATCGTCCTCTACTATCAAAAAGAGTGCAATCTAAAGCTTCTACCATGGATTGATTTCATGTCATCCCTCTACTATTAATTAACTCAACTTGTCGTCCCTCTACAATGCAGAAAGATGCAAATGTCATCTCTCCGTCCAATGTAAGTTGACAATCTTATTTATTGACCGTTAAGTGTAAATGATCACACCTAGTTAGGCCTTTTTTTTTTCGTCACCTTACCTTTGTGGGCCCCACCCTTGCCACATCATTGCTCGTAGTGTCTAAGAAATCCCCAAATCAGTCTCTTTTCCCTAATTTCTTTCTTCCTTTTCGAAACCCATTTGAATCCCTAAATCAAAATTCCCTAAATTAGAAATATGAGTTTCTTCCTTTCTTTCAAAACCCAGATCAGAAATCCCTAAAGCTTTTCCCCAATTTCTTTCTTCCCTTCGAATCCCATATGAATCCCTAAATCAAAATTCTGAAAATTAGAAATATGGGTTTCTTCCTTTCTTTCGAAACCCAGATAAAAAATCCCCAAGTTCTTTCTTCCTTTCAAACCCCACCGTCTGAGAAGCATTTTGCCTGAATCATTGTTTGAGAAACCATGAGAAACCCTAGAAGAAAAGTATAACTCCATCAACAATCAATGAGAATCATTAGGCATATTCAAGAAGTTTGGGTGCTGACAATGTCTTGGAAAGACAGTCAGGGTTTTGATTTTCCTTTTACACCACAATCACGCTTCAATTGTTAGCAAATTGGATTTTGCTATTGTAGCCCTCCATCGGTAAGGAAAACTTCATTAACCCATTTTAACTATGGGCAAAGGTTTTGGGGTTACTCCAAATATCCAGTAAGTATTCTATACATTATTTTTTAATCTAATATGATTCTGGTGGGTCTATGATTTTTCTGGTGGCTTTAAGATTTTTATAGAAAGATGATGCTAAAACAGTTCAATGGTATGAGCAACATTTGGATGAGGAAAAACCATGGTGTGATGTTTTTGTTTGGTATGATGATGAGTTTGATCCTCAGGCAAAGTCATGGTTAATGCGCTGTTGGGAGAAGGAGCAAAAAATGTTAGAGAAAGAGAAAACATTGATAACCAAGGTTCTTGAGGTGAAAAAGGAGAATCTGGATTTGCATAGGAAACTCAAGGGGTGAAAAATTCATATTTTGAACTAGAAAAAAAGGTTGCTGCTTTTGAGATGAGGACTTTGGAAGTAAATTTTAGGTGTTTGAACTTTAGGAATTGCTTAGCTTTTTGTATATGTCTTATTGTTTATTGGTTCTTCTTCTTGGTGTAAATGTTTAGCATTAGGTAGATTGCTGGAAGTATTGATGTACCGATGCTATTGTCAAAATCAGTAAATCGCCAATGTATTTTGCAATGTAAATGAAATGACCAAAATACACCCTAAAATACTTTAAGGACAATTGTTTCCATCATTAGTAGAACCCACAGCTTGAATCAGAGCACCCCAATCTGCCAACTCCATTTCATCCAATCTACCTTACTCTGTTGCCTTGAGTCTTGCAAACCTTTGTGCCTACCAACAAGTATGGTCCAAAATAAAAAAAATCCTATGCCATGAATAAGATTATATAGATGAAATTCTAATATTATCAACTAATTAAATTACCTCTAATTGTTGATATGTAACAATCTCTCTCTATTTGGATCCTTGTTGCTGCCTAGAGGAGGATGACTCATTTCCATATTGCAATTGGAGTTGAGAGTTCTTCATTGCCTTTTCGATTGAGACACTTTAAATATTGAAGAACTCATGCAAATTTGAAGCAGGGGCATGAACAGTAGCGTGAACAATAACTCCACATGAGCTTTTGCAGAAACTTTTGGTTTTTTCCTTGGGACTAAGAGGATTCTTCTACCTTTCTGTCCAGGCTAATGAACAGTAGAAAAAAGATCACAGAAATGAAAATGAAAAGACTTAGTACCACATCAAAGAAATAAAACAAAAAAAATGAATTAATTTGTAACAATATTTAAATCTTACATCTAAAATACACAATCCAGTCTCTATGTTGAAATAGGTCCCATATCCTTCAAATCTGGTCCTTTTCTTACGACTTTGTTTCGCCTAAAATTAATTTATCGATATTAAAATAGCAATATAAATATAAAAAATGAAAACTTATGTTATGATGAACATAATTTAAAATGAAAAATCACCTTTTTGGCAGTTTGGATGGCTTTCCCCTTGTTGCCATGGACAGCTTTCCCCTTACCATGCACCTACACTTGATGACCATGACTTGTACCTTCATTGACTTCCATATTAATTGTGCCACTCCCAGATTCAACAACTGGTTCTTTAATTATGGGTTTTGCCTTTCTTTTGTGTTGACATTTTCATCTGAACTCTTGTGGCAGCCCAGGTGGACACTAGACAGAATTGTTGGCATCATTTTTCCTTCCTTTTTTTTCTTGTTGAATTCCCATTAGATTTGAATTGACATTACTAGTTTGATCTTGCACATCAATAGCAAGTAGCTGATTTTCTGGTTGATTCTACAATTGAACATTAATAGCAACTAGTTGATTTTCTGGTTGAAATTGTAGTTGAACATTTGCAGCAAGTAGTTGATTTTTGCATGAAGTTGCAGTTGATCATTAGCAGTAAGTAGTTCCTTTTCTGGTTGAATTTGTAGTTGAACACCTCTAGCAACTTGTTGATTTTTTGGTTAAAGTTGCTTTTCAACACCTCCAGCAACTCTTGCATCTCCAATAGGCATCTCAACTATTATGGGAGTGTTATTCACAACATTTGCTTGAGTGGATGATGACTCTTTAGCCTATGGTTTAAATAAAAAAGCTCAACTTTAGTTATCTAAAACTGTTAGGAAACAAATAATCTTAACCAAATTTATATTATTTAAATGAGATTATACTTACATTTTTTGGTTTTTAGGATGGATAAGTTCTGGAATTTTGGCCTTGTTTGAAGCATACTCGGCAGGTCGTGATCCTAACCTTTCTGCTAATGTTAGATCCATTAGAAATTTCCCAATCTTCTAAATGCCTTTTCTTTTTAGGTCTACCCGTCCTCTTCCTTTCCACTGGTGGATCAAGTGGAGGCATGCCTGTTTCTTCCCATCTTTCCATGCCATCTAGAGGAATTATGCAGTGCTTGTATGTGTTAATGTATGCTTGTCTTCTGTAGCAATGGTGCATAGTCTTCAAAGTTTTCCTCTCAATGCTGGATGGTAAGCATGGTATGTCTATAAGGAATACCATTGAGTTGGCATACCCTACAAGTGCATGTATGGTCACGAACATTGACCATAAATGAGTCATTTCTTTCTTTGATCTCATATTCCACAGGGGCTCAAGACACCATATGGCACCTAGACATTGCAGCCTTATGCTCAATCTTCTCCCAAAATTTTGGACCAAATTTTCCAACAAAACTTTTGTCTACAAAGGCCTGTTTTGCTATCATTCTTTTTGAGCACTTCCACCTTAAGTCCTCTAGCAAAGACATAGCAGCCTTTTGCCTTGCATCAAGAATAAATCCAGTGAAGGTTTCACACATATTGTAATCAACAGCATCACATTTGCAATGGGTATCAAACAATGCCTTGCACCAGTGCTTTGGATCATATTGCATGAGATACTCTTTTGCTGCAAGGTTCAACTTATTAATTTTTTCTATATTTCTCCTGAATTCTACAACAGTAGTTGATTTAGCAGTGATCCAAAACCATTTTTGTAACTGCTTACCCTTGTGATGCTTCCTAAAATTTGCATATATATGCCTAGCACATCTCATATGTGTAGCTCTAGGAATAAGCTTTATATTGCATTAATTAGACCCTGTTTCCAAATTAAAAAAAAAAAACAAGAAATAAATTTTTTGTGGAACAAATTATAGAAAAAACAAAATTAATGGAAAAACAAAATAAATTCACATACTTTTTGCTGATCAAACAAAAATGTGAAGTTTTCTCCATCACCTATCATCAAGTCAGCCCTCAGAAGTTGTAGAAACCATGTCCAGTTGTCTGTTCTTTCACATTCTCTATAGCCTAAGCTACCGGATACATTTGGTTATTTGGATCTATAGCTACTGCTGATAGTAATTGTCCCTTGGTTGGACCTTTGAGGAAAGCTCCATCAAAATTAATAATAGGTCTGCACCCAGTTAAAAAACCTTTTCTCAAAGCAGCACAACACACATAAAACCTTATGAAAACAGGATTTGAATCAAGTGTAGGCCTTTCTACATAAATCTCAACTGTGCTTGTTGGATTTCTTTTCAATATTTCTCGCCTATAATCAAATAACTCACTATATTCCTTCTTGCAATCACCTTGAAATTCCTTAATAATGAGCTGCTTTTCTCTCCTAGCTTGACTAATAGTAATCTCAAGATGCAGTTCTTCATGCATACCTTGCTGGATATTGGGATGAGAAAGAGTCAATGCAGAATAACCCTTGGTTTTAATAAAATGCCCAGCCATTGTTGTAGCTTTAACTCTCTTGTTTCTCCAACTAAAACCGCAAATATGCTCATCCTTATATGTTTTATCATCCAACTCCTCATTCTACAATCTACTGATAATAACAAAGTCTAATCACACCTTTTATCCACACATGCAACCCGAACCCTTCTTTGATCATTTTTTTATCAAAACAGTTTCTCTTCTTGTGTAAATTGATAGTGCAAGAACAACATCCTTAAATTGCTGGGTGCTTGCAAATATCATACCAATTTCAAATTTTGAAATGAGGAAAGTGTCATCAAAGATCTTGTGTTGTGACCTCTTCCTTCTAGCTTCATCAGCCTCACTATCGTCACTGCTAGTGACAAAGCTAACATTGTCATCTGAATTAATGGAATCACTATGTCCTTCAACAACATCTTGTGTTGGAGCAAATAACAACAATGCTATTTCTTCTTCCCCTTTAAACCTGCCACCAGATTGAGACCTTAACAGCCTATTTTGTTTCCTTGCCTCTTGCCATTCTTCATCCTCATTATCAATTAGCTAAGGAACATCTATAAACTCATCACCACTACGTCTTGCCTTCTGCACTGTTCAACTTGAGCTTACTGTTACAATATTGGTTTGTTCTCTTACAACAGTAATGGCTTTTTCTCTTAATATAAGGCTATCTTGAGTGAGACAACCAAGGACTTCTTCATCATTTAAAAAAGGCTCTGATCTATGCAAATTTACAACAGAACCTCCCACCACCTCAGAAGCCCCCACAACAACATTTACTGAAGATGCCTTACTACCATTGTGGGGCCTAGATTTGCCTAATTGTTTTAATACCTCTGCCTCATGTTCCACATAGACATCTATATATCCATGTTCAAAAAGTAGTTGGAACATGTCATTAACTGATTCATTAGACACTATTAAAACAAGTCCATTTTCAAGTTTCTTCCTTGGGTGCTTATACCAAACAAAATCAGTCATTCCATCAATGTCAACATTTAAGCCTTGTAGTTTAGCTTTAAATCCGGCAACATTTATGTTACCATAGTCAAACCACATACTTTGAAAGGTACCTCCAACACACCTCAAATATGGATCTTTAACAAATTTGCCCTCGATGTGTACATACATTCCTACTTGCATGGTTCCCATTACAGAAAATGCCTAAAGAATCAACACAAATTATCAGAAAATAACAAAAGAATTCATTCAAAATGCATTGTAATCTAATAAACTAATAGTTACCATTGACAATTAAGTCAACTAACCCCAATTAAAATCTAAACCAAGATTATTTTACTAATCTCCACAAATCCTTCCTTAAATTAATTAACCAAAAACATAAAAAACTCTATTTTTATTGTATACCTCTGAAGCCATTCTCCGCTTTGTTGCTATTGATCTTGCCTTTTCATCCCTTTTCCTTTTCCTTGTGCAGAGATTCTAAAACTCAAATCTCAAGTATGAATGTAAAAGTTAAAAATTGTACTAAAGGTATAGAAACTTGGGAATTTTTGGAGGCAAAATAGATAGAAAATGGGGTTGAGTTCCTACTTGAAGGATCCACGTTGGGGAGGTAGCGGGAAGTCCAAGCTAAGGCAAAAAAATTTTGTGAGAGATGATGTGGCAAGGGTGGGGTGCACAAAGGTAAGGTAGCAAAAAAAAAAAAAAGAAAAGGGCCTAACCGAGTGTGACCGTTTGCACTTAACAATCAATAAACAAGACCGTCAGCTTACATTGGACAGAGGGACGACATTTGCATCTTTTTGCATTCTAGGGGGACAATAGGTGGAGTTAATTAATAGTAGAGGGACAACATGGAGCAAATCCATAGTAGAAGGTTTAGATTGCACTATTTTTGATAGTAGAGTGACGATAGACGGCATTAACCCTTTCATTAATACATGGGTTTTTTTTGTTTTGTAATTTAGAGTTTTAAATTGTATTAAATTATAAAATAAAAATTATGAGATGGACAATATTAAGAGGCTGACTCAATTTAACAATAAATGTCGTGTAGTTAGGTTGAAACCTTTTTGTTGACATATACCCAAATTATTTTCTATGAATGAGTTTGGGTTTAATAATTTTTGGAGGGATAAATTGCACTTGCAGTTTTGATGCTAGTGCACTTTGCCCCAAACAATCACAATAGCCCCTTTTAGTTTGCTCTATTAGCCACCCGTATTTATTAGCTTTTAACAGATATACCCCAAATTATATGGCTAATGGAGCAAGTCACAAGTGGTTAAATGCACGCTTTTGTGACTTTGGAGGTGTATCGCGTCTACCTCATGTACAAGTACAATTTATTCTAGATTCAGATTTGGAATTTTTTTTAAGTGTTTGATAGTTTAAACTATAAAACATAAATTATAAAATGATGATTACAAGATATTAAGGGATTTCTAGTAATATGTAAAAGTCTTTTCATTTTAATAATTAGTATTACACCAATGATTTGTTGGTATTAGTGAAAAGAATTTGGTTCCTTTAAATAGTAAATGAAAAAACAAACATTGGAATAGTTTTCTTTTTATAGGGTTCAACATAACTTAATTTTAGATTAATCGATATCTAATGTAGTTATCGGATATTAAAAGTTAATACCAAAAACATAATTAATATTTTACAATTTAGTGAGTAAAATATTGGACTCATTAAAAAAAAAAAATTGGAATATTGGACTAAAAAACCCTAGGCCCATTAAATGTAGTAGTGAAGCATCAAAACTAAAGAAGCCCTAAAACCTTTGCTAGGCCCAACTAACAACCACCTTGTATGATCGGCAGGCATTAGGGTTTAGTCGGCTTCCTTAGTTGACCTATAAATACATGCTCTCGGCTCTGCGAAATCAAAATACCTCATTCCAGAGTTTCTCGTTTCTCTTGGTATAGATTTGTTTTTGTCATGTATTAGGAGATGATTGCCTCTCCTTTCGGCTGCAAGAATTGAGATCTGAGGATCGATTTCTTGATGGCTTTGTTCTGGAGGCATATAGCAATTCCCATCCAAAGAGCCTTGGGGGTTTCAGATTATTTGCATTTTCTTTTGCTTTTCTGGCTTCCCCTTTCTTTGGTACATTCCTAAACCATGATTTTTCATTCATTTCTTTCTTTCCTCCGTTTGCTCCTCCCTATTTTGTTATTCTGAAATCAAATCAAATGGCTGCAAAGGCGGCTGGAACCGGCATGGGTTAGATAGCCGCAACTTAATTGTGATGAAAAATTATAGGGTAAAGAATAAATGCTAATATTAATCGAAATCAGGATTAAAGTTAATGGACGAATCTTGATCTTTCAATTTTAAAACTTTAATAATTAAGTCCAACTAAACCTCTATGGGCTCAGCTCCAGCTCGCCTGAAACTATCCAGGGCGGTGGATACTCACACTGAGAACGAGGTTGGTGTTTATGTACTCCTGGGAAAATACTGCAGTATGACGGGTTACTGAATCAGTGGTTGGGACGCGGTAATTTTAACCAAACGTGATTCATTGGAGGATTCAGGTTTGACGACAGAAACCTATGTTGATTGTTGAGATGATGTCCCGTTTTCCGTAGTTTTAGTTGAGGATATCAGTTTGTTGAGAATTTCATCACATCATAGAACACTATTGACTATATAAAGCTAACGCCTTGTGGCAATGGGGGAACATCATTCCGCCTTATGATCCTCCAATTTAACGTTTACGTGCCGGACCTCGTCTTCTCCGGTTGTGTCCTTCACGATCCAGTGCTTGTTGCGGCTCATGTAGAGAGGCCCAATCGGGGAAAAAGTTTAGTCTCGTCTGCAGGAGTGGAGCCACGGAAAATTAAGGGTGGGGTTGGAAATGAAAATTGATAGTGAAATGGACTAAAATTCAATGGAATAAATTAAAAATTCAATGATAATGTGGAAAAATGCTGTGCCGGGGTGTACGTGGAGGAGACCAGTCAAATCCTAACACATCTTTGACTTTTTCTTTTTCTTTAAAGTCCAATTTTTTTAAATTAATTTAAAAGAAGCTAAGTATAATTCATATTATATTGTCAATCACTTAAATAATTTAGTTATTATTATTTTTAATTAAAAATAAAAAATCATAAAATTGAGTGGCATGGTATTCAGGTAAAATGAGATAAAAAATAAAAAATAATTATTTTTTATTGTGTAATCAATCAAAATAAAAAATAAAAAGATTATACTACGTGTATTAAACGAGAGGCAAGAGTTAAAAGAATGCTCTGAGATGAGTAGCTTTGCCTTGTTATTTCATAATCGTTGTAATTTAATGAAATTTTATTTAGCCATTCTCAGGTTTCTATCCGGCCGCCATTGATAGCAAGTGTTTTCGTTGGAATCACATATTAAAAAAAGGTATACTTATAAATTTTTTATCAGATTGGAAGTATGACTATTTACTTGATGTTGAATGGAAAACAGTTGAAATGCAGGAACTTATGGGATAATGCTCATCTTGCAGTCATCAAGAATGCGTAGCATGCCTTCAATGTAGAAGAGCCCAAGGCGTATATCAAGCACTTGAACTTCTTTCTCATTGATTTGAGGACTAATACAACGAGCTGGACTCCTTAGGAATTAATGGGAGTGGACAGTGGACACCATTACTCAAGGTAGTGCTATAAAAATAATCTTTTTATATGATTTTCACATGTCATTAAATAAATGAATGTATTTAATATCATAAATTTCACATGAATTAAAAAACTAATCATTTTAATAACGCATCAAGTTGTATAAAAAAAACAAAAAAATTATACAAAAATCATTTCTCCTTTATTCATCTTCGTTTCTTTTCTTTTAATTTTTTTGGTAGAAAGTCGAGTTCATTTCTGCAACACAGTATCAGAAAAAACAATGTGAAATGAAAGGATAAGAAATTAAGAATCCAATTCCATTCTCTTTGACGAACAATTGCTATGTCATTGTGATGATAAAAAAAAAAAATTGCTGTCATTTTTCTCCAGCCCATAACAAAAAATCATTTTCCCGCTACCTTCACTTTAAGGTGCAACCATCATAAAAGTCTCAAGCATTAATGAAAACATTTTGATATTCGATATTTAGCGCCTCGAGAAAGATAGATATCACTAGAACTACTGAACAGGCAACTTTTCAGGGCCCCAAATCACGTTTTCAATATATAGCCTTGGGGTGAAAATTTTCCAAAATGAACGGAACAGCTAGGACTCCGAAAGCGATGAAACAAACGAAATATGAAGAACATTCAAGACATCATAGGACTATTAAATGGCAGATTAGAAATATGTTCTAACAGAAGAAAAATATTGTAGCAATCTGAGAAGAGATCTGGTCAACAAATTGACACAATCCACGAATCACAAATCCCCATAAAACTAGTACTAAAAGGCTGGTCACCCTACCATGCTCTTCCCTACTCAACAAGCCGAATCTTAAAAGAATGCTCTTCTCCATCCAACTAACTCTGCAAAATTTAATAATTCTCATAATAATGATTGGTCCACAAATGAAAGAGTAGATAAAAAGAAGCTATGAGAAAATAGCAAAAAGGAAACACAAAAAACTTAGTCAACCAGTGATAAATATTCAGCCTGTCAAAAGTAAAAGCACAACTGCACCAGGTGTTGAAGTGTAATGAATCCACTAAAAAACAATTACTTAAAGCTTAATAAGTTGTTACCTCTGCTTGAGGTTCATCACCTTTGGATTGCTCGCCTGCAATATCATATGACAAATGCAGATAAATGCATCAGCAGTAGTTAACCAAAAGGGTGCTATTTATCTTAGATGGGCACAAAGAAAATTTTGCTTCTTGAATAGGGAGACAGTGATCATAATTGTAAGAAAAGATAATTCAGTGAGAATAACTACTTCAGACCACAATTTGCTACCACTTTTATACCAAAATAAGCATTATCAGTCTAATCTTGAAACAATGAATATCCAAAAACCAAAATACAATTTTCAATCCAAAACATGACACGCATGATGGCTAGCAACTTACCTCCCTCCTCTGGTAGATCAGAGGTCCACAAGGTGAGATTATCCCTAAGAAGCTGCATAATAAGGGTGCTATCCTTGTAAGATTCTTCATTAAGGTTATCGAGTTCTGCAATAGCCTCATCAAATGCCTGCTTAGCCAGATGGCAAGCCCTGCTCAAAGTAAAGGATCAAGTAAGACAAAAGTTAGCAACTAAAATGAAATGTCATCTGGAGCTTCATGCTTCTTCTAGATTTATTGAAACAACTAACCTAAGAACAAATTTAATAAGTCAAATACTCAATCAGCATTAAATTAAATGGTATAAAATATTAGCACTGCTATGCCCTTGCAAATGTCTTTTTCAATAACAAATAGATTAAAAAATGCTTATTACAGAGCAAGATCTGCATACTAACCTTTCAGGAGAGTTCAAAATCTCATAGTAAAAAACAGAGAAGTTCAAAGCAAGGCCAAGCCTGATAGGGTGAGTTGGGGGCAAATCTGAGGCTGCAGTAGAGGTGGCAGCCTACACATAAAGAACAACCACATACAATCTTAAGTTTCATAACATAAAAGTAATGGGTGATATTAGGAGGATGCCAAAGGACCTCAGAAACAAAAGGAAGGAGGATTTGAACACACCTCATAAGCCTTGAGTGATTGATCTGCAGCTTCTTTACGATCATCACCTGATTTAAACTCAGCCAAGTAACGGAAATAATCCCCTTTCCTGTTAAAACAAGAAAAAAAGAAGGAATATATGTAAACTGATGAAGGATTCAAAATATGCACATAAAAGAGGGAACTAAGGTGGGAACTTTGATCAAAATCTCCTTCATAACTGGTTGCTCATATCAAAAAATTAATCTCCACAAATCATATGGTTTCATTTCTAATTGTCATCATATGCTTATCCCAATCATTGTGGTTTTGCCATATCTATGAAAGCTACGTATGCTAGCATTCTATGAAAGTTTCTGACTTTTTCAAATAGATTATTTGTTTCTTTCCATCTTCGAGTTAGGTACTTCTCATCTCAAATAACTCCATAGTATACCAATACCATATGAAAGAAGTCTAGCAAATCTCACATCTTATAGTAGAAAACAGTTGATTCCCCTGTTGTGGAAGAAGGAATTAGGTGTGAATCAATGACAGATAATATGTCATGGCAGATCTTTGCCAGCTCATCTTCAACCCTCTGCCTGTAGTCCCTTATTCTCTTTGCATTTTGCTCATTACCCTTGGCCTCTTCTTTCTGTTCAATGGAAGACAATATCCTCCACGATGCCCTCCTTGCGCCAATGACATTCTTATATCCCACTGATACCAGATTCCTCTCTTCCACTGTCAGCTCCACACCCAACTTAGCAACATTCTTCATAGCTTCAACCATTTCTGCAATCATGATAAAATTATAAATTAGTTTCCAACTCTAGTAAGCTGCAAAAGGATCCATAGTTAGGAACTAGAAACGGACCTTCAAATACCCACAGAATCAAAAACTTTAAATAATATCAAGGTTAGTGGATGTAAATCACAACTCAAAAAATTATGATTCAATTATCCTTCGTAACATGTTCAGTGTTTTACACTAGCTATCAAGTAGTAGGCAAAGGAAGACGAAAGGGAGCACTCAATTTTACATATAACAAAATATTGAATATTCCACTAAAATTGAATATAACGCGATCATCAGCCAAACAGAACTGCTTAGTTTCAAACCAGACTCCACTCCAGTGCTTCTCTTCTCTGTTACTGATGCAGCAAAAAATAGCAGCATTTAAACCATAAAAATATATCATTCTCTCACTTAAACAACACTTCTCATGCATTGAACACTCAAATCTAAAACCTAGCCCCCATTAATCATTCAGTTCACAGGTAGAATATCAATCGAAGCATATCACCTCCGCTTTAACACCACCAATCTAGCTAATTAACACTATCAATCGATGAATCAGGCGGAAAGGAACAACAACGAAAACACTATTTCACGCATCAAAAACCACTAAGATGAGATTCGATACACCATACCAAACAGCATAAGGAGATCCAGAAACGAGAACAGGCAAAGGTAGAAAGCAGATTAGATTCGTTCATGTCGAAAGAGAAACATTACCATCATATCGCTCCGCCTGCTCGGCGAGCCTCGCCAGATAAACTTGCTGCACTCTCTCCTTCTCCATCGCCTCAGTCTCTGCTTCTTTCTGTGTGTATCTCTGTGTGTGTATTTTTTTCGCTTTGCGGTTTCTGCTTTCTAGGTAACTGCTTTTAGGAATTCCGTACTATACGAGTGGACCGTTGGATTGGGTTCCTGGAGGGTAAGATCGATGGTTAAAAATTAGTTTTGGTTTTGAAACCCTTGATTTATGGTGTGCTGTGAGGGTGAAATCTGACCGGTGATTTCTAGGGGTTGAGGAAATGTCACCGTTGGATGGATATCAATTGGTGATGTTGACTTGGACCATACGGTGCGGGCTCCATAGGCTGTAGATAACCTTCGTCAGGTTACTTAGATACAGTTCCGTAACAATGACTTACTACGATACTTGATTAAGTTTTAAATTATTTTTCGGAGTAAAAATTGGCCCTTAAACTTGATTTTTTCAACATAAGATAGAGCCCCGCTTTACGTGGCGTAGTAAATAATTTTAGTTAGGATATAAAATGTGATATATAAGGATAGTGAGAAATTGAAAAGATTATGATAATCTCATAAGCTCAAAAGGGATGATGGGCCATTAACAATTAAGTTTTAAGGAATTTTAACTTATAATTGGATCTTTTTTAGCTATTTTGGTAGTGTTAACTTTCTAATTATGTAAAGATTTCACTAAATATATGACTAATAAGGCTATTAGATTACACAATTAGTATTTTTTTTTTTTGAACAAGTTGTCAAGGAATGAACTTTTATGAAAAAAGAAAAATGCACCTCAAGCTAACAGAGTGTTAGTTGGCCTGAAAGGTCAGGTGTAGATTACACAATTAGTTTTTTTTTTTGAACAAGTTGTCAAGGGACGGGTTTCTATGGGAAAGAAAAAATACACCTCAAGCTGGCAGAGTGTTAGTTGACTCGAAATGTCAAATGTAGATTACACAATTAGTTAACAAAAGTTTAAAGTTTAAAGTAAATATAAGATTATAAATGAGTTGAGTTGAGTTAAGTATTAAAATATTTAAATTTAAACTCAACTTTATAATGACAAATCACATTTTATGTTAGATTTAGAAATTGAGTAATTTGAAATTAGAGCATTCATAAGCTTGTGAAGGAACAAGAGTCACAAGTTCACAATCTTAACTTTGAGTGGTATTCAAAAAATCGTGTAGTTGAAGGCTCTTAATAGCCATAATCTAAGCTTTTGGGATGTTAAAAAAAAAAAAAATGGGGCTAAAGCGCATAAAAGAACCAACTATAGGGTTATCCTACAATTTCTTTATCAGAATAATCACTAAATCACATATCTTTAATTAGTTTTATTGTTTTAATAATTTTCTGAAACTATTAAACCCTCTTCACAGGGGGAAAGGGAGAAGATTATTGCTGGGTTTCCCGCCACAAGATTTTTCTACTCTTTTTCATTCCCTGTTATTTTCTCAGCAGCCAAACAGATACTAAACTGAAGACTCCGATCAACTGGTCCAAATCATCGGCGGCTGCTTTCTACAGTCTACTCCAACCGCTCTGTTTCGTCAAGCGTCAGGTGAATCTCTCAAATCTCACCCCCGTCGTTTATCATTCTGATCTCCTAAATTGACACCTATTTTGGGGGGTTTTTGGCTTCACGGCAGTGCGTGCAGACTGATATAGTTGCGTTCTCCATGTTATTATTAACGATTGTGTTTATCTCTTGTCAATAAATAATAGATTCTGGGTGGGTGCTTTAAGGTTTTCACTGGGGTGAAGTTTAAAGGTCGAATTTTTATGTTAGCCGAGGTGTTTCAGAGAGGAAGACGGTAGTTGCAGGGTTACAAATTTGTTTCAGTGTGGTCAGCAACCTTCTTTTTTTTCTTTTTTTCTTTTTTTTTTTGGTAATTTCTGTTTTGGGTTTCTACTTTCTAAGGTTTCTTGAGAGGGAAAGAATTCCCCTTTGAGGCAGATAATGAGACAAATATATTAATGTGTTTTATGGTGCAATGTAAGTTCATTAGTACATTATGTCAATGCAAATTTGTGTTTACTTTCTTTTTTAACTAGATTTCAAATGTACTAAATGGGGAATATTTGTCCTTTTGATTCCTCAGTATTCATGGACTACATTTTACATGTTCTTTTTACTGAAATTCAATTTAAGTTGATATTAAGACCCAGCGTGTCCTTACTGGTTTGCTTTTTATGCAGGATGAGTAATGCTGATGAAGATTTATCTCAGTTTGATATATCTAAGCAGGTGCTTATTTTTACTCTTTGCTTTCAGGAACTGGCATGTATGGGATATCACTTCACTGTATTCTAATGGCTAACGGTGTTACTTTTTGTAGGAGATAGACAAGCTTGTTGCGGAAGTAATTCGCTATATACTTTTTAGAACTAACCAAAATTCTGGGTGCCCAATTAAGAGGGAGGAACTCACACAACTGGTTACTAAGAACTATAACCAGTATAATCTTCCATCGTATGTGATCAATGCAGCTAAAGAAAAGCTTTCAAGCATTTTTGGTTATGAATTGAGGGAACTTCACAGATCACGGCCTTTGTCAAAAAAACATGGGCGTTCCACACAAGGCAAGATTTCCTCCTTTTTTTTTTTTTTTAGGGCTGGGGTTGGTGTGCATGTTCAGGAGGGGATGATTCTTTATATTTTGGCTCTTAACAATAATTCCAATGAAATTTTCCAGTTATGGTTGATTCCAAGTCCTATGTTATCATAAGCCAGCTGCCTGCTGATATATACAAGAAATATGTTGAGGATGTGACTTCATCACATCTTACTGGTTTTGCTTTTGTTGCAATTAGTATTGTGCACCTTGCAGGAGGCAAACTTCCAGAAGGTAACTTT